GGGTGCCGTCGGCGGAAGCGAGGACCAGGAGCCGCCCCAATCATTCTGGTGATATCTCGGACGTGTGCATCTGAGGCCACGGTCTCACACAGCGTCCATTGCCGGTCACGCGGGCGTGAGACATTGCGAAGGGGGTTGGCTGGAGGTTGCCTTGACTAAGGATCGAGGGGCGTCGCATTGCATCGGGAGAGAGGGAACTAGCACTCGACGGTTTCGGAGCAATTGGGCCTAATTTCAGCGTACAGCCCCACCAGCTCATGCCTGTATCCCGTCTACCCACATGCGCTACGTGCATGCGTATGCACCTACCGATGCATTCAGAAATTTGTCGCGCCACTGCTGCTGCTCTCCTGCTCCTTGTTCGCTCGCTCTTGCCGGCCGTCCTCTGGTCATGGGAGGAGGGTAGAAATAGATCGGCCCTCCTCTTCGTCCACCCGGGAAGAATTCTTCCTCCCCCTCCTTCGTTTCCCATGAACATGGTCTGATCTCTGTTTTCCTCGGTAGTGTAATCAGTTCAAACCAACTTTTTCTGTCTTTGTCCTCTGAACCTGAAGGTTTATACGTGAAAACCGCCCTTATCTAGACCGCCAACTCCCATCCACGCAGGAGCACTCGCCCACTGACTTGAGTCGTCTCCTTGCACCTCCTCTCCCCTCCACCCTCCACGCACAACATAGCCCTTCCCATCCCAATTCCCTTCCCAATTCCAAAACAACAACTCCCAGTTGCTCTGTTCCATCATCCTTTTCCGTGTGGAAAACGATATGTCTCTGACGAAGCGAGCACGCTCTCAAAACCCAGATGACTTCCCAACCCTTCAACTCTTTCTCCTTGGTAAGTCCATTGCTCTGTCTTGTTATCACATTACCCCTCCTCCCGTGCCTACGACCGACTAACAAAATCTCCTCCTCAGCCATTGTTCGACTCGCCGAACCCATTGCCTTGACCTCCATCTTCCCATATGCGTGGGCTCTTGTGAAGAAGTTCCAAGTCGGAAACGAGCAAGATGCTTCCTTCTACGCCGGCCTCCTCATATCATCCTTCTCCCTCGCCGAGGCATTGATGGGCATGTATTGGGGTGGCCTCTCCGATCGTATGGGCCGCAAACCTGTCTTGATGATCGGTTGCGCGGGCACCATGTTTAGCATGGTGATGGTCGGGTTTGCCTCTGATATTTGGATGGCATTGATTGGGCGTGCACTCGGCGGTCTTTTAAACGGAAACATTGGTGTCATTCAGACCATGGTAGGAGAATTGGTCTCCAAACCAGAGCATGAGCGTAAGTCGTCAATGCCCATCGCGCCGCATTCATTTGACGCATAGCTAACACTTGATAGCACGCGCCTACTCTGTAATGCCTTTCGTTTGGAGCATTGGTACTATCATCGGGCCTTGTATTGGCGGCACCTTTGCCGACCCTCATCTTGCCTGGCCCAGCGTATTCCCGAAGGGGAGTTTATTTGAGAGATTCCCCTATCTTCTCCCAAACCTCCTCTGCGCTGCGCTGCTTGGTATCAGCATTGTCCTAGGTTTTTTCCTGCTTGATGAAACTCACCCTGATATGCAACCCCGCATATATCTCCCGGCAGATGCCTATGTGTCTGAGGAGACCCCGCTGATTGAGACATCAGATGCAATGAAGCGTCCTGCAGTGGATCTCCGATCTGAGACATACGGCACCATTCATCAGACCGAGGCTGAACCTGAAAATGGCCTTTCCCGTGAAAAGTCCGGCGGGGAAAACATTTGGACAAAGCAAATCATTGGCTTGATTCTTGCCCTGTGTATCTTCACATATCACTCGATGACATACGACCATCTGATGCCCATCTTCTTCGAAGATGACCGTGCCCCAACCAAGGTGCTTGTAGGCAACATGGCAAATATGTCATCTCTCTTCTATTCACCAGGCGGTCTCGGCTTGTCCGTCCGCTCCGTCGGGATGATCATGGCTGTCAACGGAGTTATTGCCCTGTTTGTTCAAGCAGTCATCTTCCCCATAGCTGCGGAACGGATTGGTGTGTACAAACTCTTTCTCATTGTCACCGTCTTGCACCCGATCGCCTATGTGATCGTCCCTATTCTCAGTTTCGTCCCCGAAACCATCCTCTTCAGTTCAATCTACCTGTGTCTTGCGGTTCGCAACACTCTCTCTATTACCCTCTACCCACTTCTCTTGATTTTACTCAAAGAAGCCACTCCATCTTCCAAAGCCCTCGGTAAGGTCAATGGCCTAGCCGCGAGTGCCGGTGCTGCTTTCCGTATGGTGGCACCGCCTGTCGCAGGATATCTGTACACCTTCGGAAGTCAGATTGATTGCACAGCACTAGCCTGGTATGGAAGCGCCCTCGTTGCCGTCATCGGCTCCGTTCAGTGCTTCATGGTGCCACGTCAACCAAATCACGAATCATCTGAAGAGTGCGGCGTCTCGCACCGACACTCCGCTTCATCCACTGAAGTTTCAGCGGAGAGCAACTAAAAGTTTATGTTCTTTTTCCCAACACATTTGTTACACTTCAAAACCCAAGCTGCGGTCTCCTGTCTCACTATCAGGGCGAAGTTTTCAAGGAGCATACTTCTGCTACAGTTGACATGATCGCAGTTATTAGGTTCTAAATTGGCAAAGATAGTTGGCAGGTTATGATCAGGCCAGTTGCTACAACAGGCCAGGATTGGGAGGGATGCAGTATGGGTTTGGCATGTCTTGAAGAGACACTTTTTAGTTCTTGTTTACATTTTCATGCAAAAGCAAGCGAGCTAGTTTCATATGATTGAGCGAAGCTTGTATTTACAGACGTCTTTGAGTTATTAAGCATTCATGAACAGAGCAAGAAAAATTACAATTATTATACCATCACTTACTCCCTAAAAATATAACAGGTGCCCTCCATCAAACTGTAGTTTAGTGGTGATGAGAATATTCATACAAGGAAAAAAGAAGAAGAGTGCAAAATGCTGAGATATTTCAAAAGAAAATTTGCAGAAAAAGGAGGCAAAAATATCTCAATCAATTCTTATAGGAACAGCCCGATGCGGGGGTCGAACCCGCAACCTTGAGATGTGAACTCGTAAGAGTCTCACGCTCTACCGATTGAGCTAACCGGGCACCATTGCTGGTGATCTTAATTGAAGGGAAGGGCGATAATTGCTATTATATTAGCTACACATCCCATGACTGGTCTGGGGAGATTTTTACCAAGAAAAAAAAAGGCAACAACCTACCTGATAACTAGTAGTGTGACCATCTTATACGCCCATTCATAGGATTCGTCCCCATCTCCTTGTCATGTTCTAAAGATTTCTACCAATTCGGTGAAAAAGGTTCACGAACCTTCCACACTACACGAAAAATTGGAGAAGCTTGTCAGTCATATGTCAATCCTGATAAAGTTGGAGTAGAGATATACGGCCAGGGAAAACACCAGCAAAATTCAAAGACTGGGCAGTTGTGCCAAATCAAGAAACAAAAAAAAACAGCATCAAAATGTCATCTTTTGAAGAGCTCACAGAGCAGATGGCAAACGCCATGCTGGCACGGCAGAACTCGAGCAGAGCAGCCGGGGATGGGACCACCAGGCCCGACCTGCCGCCGGCGTTCGCTCGGCATGAGGGCATGACGGTGGACGAGGTCTTCAGGGACCTGAACAAGTCGCCGCTGTTCATGACGGAGCTGGAGGACAACGACGACGTGGCGGCGCTGCAGGCGCTGGCGTACGAGGGGACGGCGCTGGAGAACGCGAGCGGCTTCAAGGAGCGCGGCAACGAGTGCTTCAAGGTGCGCGGGTTCGTCGACGCCAAGGAGTTCTACACCAAGGGGGTGCTGGTCCTCGCGGCCGAGGAGCGGAAGCGGGCCAACGGGGAGGTCACGAGGAACCCGGATGGTGAGGAGGACTCGGAGGAGGAGATCAGGGAGCAGAGGAAGATGCTCGAGACCATGTACGGCAACCGGGCGGCGTGCCATCTAGAGCTGGAGAACTACCGCCGCTGCTGGATCGACTGCGCCGCGGCGCTGCGGCTGAACCCGGCCAACGTCAAGGCGTGCTACCGCAGTGCCAGGGCGTTGCTGGCCGTGGACCGCATCGAGGAGGCGGACGATGTGTGCGCCCGCGGGCTGGAGCAGGATCCGGAGAATAAGGCGCTGCGCGCGGTGGCGGATGACATTATCAAGCGGGCCAAGGTGGTGGATGCGAAACAGAAGAAGGACGCCGAGCGGGCTGTGACTGAGAAGCGGAGGGAGATACTGCTGCAGGCCGCGATACAGGCGCGCGGTATCCCGACTCGCCGCACGGAGAAGCCGCCTGATATGGAGGATGCGGGGATAGCGCTGGTGCCGAACCCGGACGACCCGCGGAGCGAGCTGTCGTTTCCTACGCTGCTGCTGTACCCGGTTCACTTTGAGACGGACTTCATCAAGGGTTTCAACGAGACTCACACGCTGGACGACCACCTGGGATACGTGTTCCCCCTGCCATGGGACCGTGAGGGAGTGTACACGTTGACAAACGTGGAGTGCTATGTTGAGACGATGGAGGGTGGTCTTCTGAAGATGGGTAGGAAAGTCCCTCTGCTCAAGGTTCTGAGCACCGGCAAGGTCGAGGTTGTGGACGAGGTGGTGCGCATATATGTTCTCCCCAAAAAGGAGGCGGAGGCATGGATAAAGAAGTTCAAGGAGCAAAAGGCGGCAATGAAGAGGTAACGAGTACACATCAAATGTTCTGCGATGACGACGACGCGATGAATTTCTCTATCATATTAAGAAAAAAAAACAATAAATGCCCAGGTGACTGGTTCCAATCTGAAATCTATGACTGATGGTTTCTCGTAGACATAATGAACTGTTCGGGATATATGAAAAGCAACTTTTTAATCGGGATGCCTTGCCATCCGATACTCTCCATCGTTACACTTAACACAATCCTCCTAGTAAAAAAAAAGAAATCTCTTTCCCTTCCTGGGGTATCAGAGTATTGGGTTAGCACATGCACCAAACTACAATGCTCTCAACTGGAGCCGTATCTTGGACGAGGCTCTGTCGAGTTTGAACTCGTGGCCTGGTTTCTGCACAAATTGCCAATGTTCATGAGAACTACTGCTGCCTCTATCTCTCCAAAGGCATAATTCCTCCCGTCCGCGAGAGTGATGGCATATCTAGGATCGAACTGAGTCTGAGTGAGCCGAGGATCAAACTGGGTCTGATCACAAGGCCGTGACTCGAGAGAAGATCCCAGAGGTGTATGGCTTGGCAGTACCGGAACTGCGTTTTGGACATTGCTGCGAGGCGCTGTGGGCACTCTGCTTTGGACATCTTCCTCTGTTTCAAGCCGGGTTCGCTTAGGCCTCTCCTGACTTTCAGGTTGGCGAAGCCAATATCGAGGCTCGTCTTCTGTCCGGCCTCGTTTCTGCGTTGTTGGCAAAGTGGAAGTTTGGTCTGTCTGGGGTTGTCGGATGGGTGTAAATAACGTATTGGGTTGGGTTGGAAGATCTTGCTCCGTCTCGGAACCGATGGAAGGCAGATGGTTCTCGTCAGTCAGGGGTGGACCAAACCCGGTGCCAAATTGATCAGGCCATGGCATACTGCCACTGGCTGATCGACTATGCTGAATAGATTCGCTCGTACGGTGTTTACGAGAGTCAGCTCCCAGAAACGGGTTGATGACCAGATCGTGCTCTGATCTCTGTCGAGAGTGTTTAATGGGTTGATACCCCTGACGCGGATAGCTAGTCAGAGCCGGCGGTCTCTTCGTAAGGGTGAGACTGGAATGGCGGTAGGCGGTAATCTCATGGCTGGCCTCGCGGATCAGATGCTCATCAATGACCATGCGATTGAAGAAGGCGGAGTCGGGTCGAACGCACTCGTCGGGGAACGTCGGTCCAAAGATGGGGATCAACGCGCCTGCTATCGGGTAGCAGAATGTTACGCAGACTGCTCTTGCGCATTGATAGGGAACCCAATAACCTAAGATAGACGATGTCAGTCATCGATCTCAATCATCTACACTGGGTGTTCCTGTCAGGGAGGGAGACTCTACCTTGGGCCACACGGTTCCCGCCCGTCATGTGAAACGTCACGTCCCGCAGTCCTGGGTTTAAGTCCAACATCTTGGCCGGTCCGGTCTTTTACTGATTAGCGGGCAGTTATAATGGACGGCATCAGTGTACAATAACCCATACCTTCTTGTGTCTGCAGACTTTGAAGAAAGGGCTGATGCGGACGAAACCACCAACGTAGTCCCACATCACATCGTACGCCCGGCTGTCACTCGGATCGTTGAACCTGTAAACAAAAACTAAAGCAGTTTTTAGCACGGGGAATCGAGAGTCGGAGGGCATGCAAAAAAAAAGTGCGGCAAACTTACCATGGAAGCTCTCCCGTCCTGTCTTCTCGAAAACGTCCTTTTTGTCGCTGCTGTAGGGGATGTGGGCACAGTACAGGCCAATCTCGCCAAACGGATAGATCGCAAATCTTTGGATCTGGTTGTAGGCCTCTCTGTCAAGGGATTCAAAGGGAGGGTACTTGATAACACCTTGGGGCCTGGTGTATGTCAAGTCGCTGGAGTCCCGGGACTTCTTTTTTCTGGGGACAGGATGCTGGTTTAGTTCAGGAATCATTGAGTCGTTCAAGTCCGATGATGGTGATGATATCTCCGAGCCCGATTGTTGCGAGAATGGGGATCTTGTGCGAGTCGTGCCATGGTTGAGGATGGATTGGATTGGAAGCATGTTTCGGTCAGCCAGTATTGCCCATGCGTAGGAGGAGCGACCAGATGGTTGATTTAGTTGCTTAAAGATGAGGAGAAACGATGAATTGGCGGTTTGTCTTTTTCAAGTTATTGTGAGCACAAACTTCTTGAGGGAACAATCAACGATATAAGAGAATGGGCAGCTTCGTCACCGACATACACATACTGCGAAAAGGCGGGAGGGAAACTGACCTAGGCGGTAAAGGACTACGTCTAGAACCAGCCCAGCTGCATACTGCGCCGGGTGTAGATGATGAAGCAGGCAGACCGGTTTAGTCCCAATCCCACTGTGACCAACAGAATGCTGGCCGGTCCCGATGGTCCAGCTGTCTCCTTGGGCTGACCTGTGAAATAGCAGAACCGTTCTCTGGTGTACCCACCCTTATTTTCAGAAGAACTTAGACGAAAGCCACAAAGTGATAGCCTCACAGGAAATCTGACAGAAAATAGAAACCAGTGGTCTACTTTTTGGGTGTAACTTGGAAGTAGTGACTAAGGGAGCAGGCAAACGCATCAAAACCGTCGGACCGCCATCGGCTACTCTAGCGACAGGCCATAGGGAACTGTCACGCAAATGAAAAAGTTAACTTTCTATGGTACTATGTCTCAAGATCTGGGCTTTCCCACGGTGTTCTCAGCCCTTTGGATCAAATGTCCCAGCCGCCGGATAATGAAGATACCTTCATCGACCCAAATCAGGCCAATCTCTTGTACTATGAACACAGTAAAAGTATATCAGTTCCAACCACCCCTGCTGCTGTCTTAAGCCACAGTTTATGGTTCACTCTGAGAGGCATAAAGTACATGCTGGGCGAAACTACGCCGCCGTGTACTTAGCCTAGACCCTCTCGAAACGGGAAGGGGGGACGGGAGTTGTAGGTAGCGGGTATGGGTATTAGAGACGCAAGTACCAGATCGTACTGGCTGGCCAGGGGCACAATACGGTCCAGTGGATGTACCTTGAGGGGGTGTGTATAGTTAGCTGAACATGGGTCAGACGGATGAAGGCATCAATCACACTTGACCCATGCACCTTGCTCATTGTGTCACACGGGGTGGAGGACCTGCAACTTGCAACGATGGACCGGTCAACCAGCCCAATATTTCAGCGTAGAAATCCTGTCCTGTGTGTTTGACAATGCCGATGTCTGGACGGAGTAGTAGACCCTAGGGGAGAGGGGCTCGTAGTGACCATATTCGCCGAATTGTGATCTCAGATCCATGGAATATAGATCTCTAGAAGGGGCACGAGGTACGCATACATCAGGGCCAGTCAATATTATGGCTTGGAACATCTTCGAGCTTGTTTCCAGCCGGCTTGGGACATCTCGCCAAATCTCCCACGAAGGATTGATGTGCTTGATGCAGCATTGGGAGGCAAAGAGAAGCCATTCGGCAAAGCGGTGATGTGTAGCTGTCAGGTTTTCATATATTGGTCCCGTGGTGAGTGACACAAATCGACAGGAAATTCTCCGATTAGGCACAAGGTTGGTCGTTGACACCAGGGGGATATGACCTTGAGCATTCCCAATCATATTCTGACGTATAGATGCCTCCTCTGGTCAGTTATCATCGTGCCATTATTTCTTTTTCTCAACTTCGAGATGCCTTCGCAACCAAGCTAGAAGCCTGTACTTCCGAACTCGTGTACCTGTCCGGGAACGGAGCCCCCTTGGGTGTCTTTCCAAGAAGAGAGTAGGCGAAGCACTGTACGAAAGCCACGACCCAGAACTTGTCAATGGACCTCATCTGATGCGTGCTGCTAGTTTGTGACATCATGGAATCACGCGGTAGCGGCTCGGCAATGCTGTGAAGAGATCTGATACATGATCCCTGACACGTACATGATGAAGAGACATCAGCCGAATCCCTCGCTTGACTGAGAATTGAGCGATTCCATACCAGCTACTGCCACCCTGGTAGCAATACACGGCGAGGCCGGCACTATAGGCGCCACCCAACAGAAGACGGATTCTGGTGAGAACTACAACCATACTCTAAGCTTATCTTAGATAGCCAGAGGATTCCATTGAGTTACCCTGGCGGGATTTACCACGCCAGATCACTCCAGGTTTCAGCGAATCCCACAGAACTCGTTTGTGGCACGAGAGCGTGTGCGTGGACCAGCCATCAAAACCATATCCATGTAGCACCCGCAAACGCTGAAACCGTTGAGCACGTCGATTTCGGAGCATTCTCCCTTCTTTCCTCAAATCCGCGTTGCCATGAACGTCCTGTGGCACATGATGGCAATGTGGAAGAGTCAAGTTTGACAAGTTGTTTTGTCTTGGTGCGGCCAAACGCTTGCATCGAGTCGCCATGGCACAATGCAAGGAAAGTGTCATTCTCACCAGCATGGAGCAGCGGGGGATCATCCAGATTCTGGTCAGACCAGGCCACATCGTACTTGTTTCTGCTTGACCAACCATCCCAATCCAGTGGTGCGAGACACCAACCAACCCCCAAGGCCGGGTAAGAATTGTCCCTAGCTACGCTCTCTTGACGATCCCTTCACGCGGGGCTGCTCAGCAGGTATGAACAAACCCAGAGGTGGCCCGGCCATCGACTCTCGAAGTGTATATCAAAATACGACCAAGCACGAACATTGGGGCTATTGGCGATCTTTGTGGTAAAGGGGCAACCGAATTCTGCTGCACTCCCGCCAACCGTAAACCCTCCCAACATAGGTAGCTACGATACCATCCATTCATTCCTCTGTCTGGCAAGAAAGAAGGGGTAGCAGGTATTAATTGATGGCCTTGGCAGACTTCACCGTAGACGTCTGGCATTTCTGTCTATGGAAGCCATCGCCACGAGTAAGCACACCGGTAATGCATGTGCCTACCAATCCATCCCAGCATCACCTATCAAGGAACAGCTCAAGCAGCGCGCCCAGCAAATATCCACCGTCCATCGGACATGGGCGCTGGTATGCCTTCGGACAGATAATTGCAGTGGCAGCGAATGCATTCCATTCGACCTCAAGATAAAGAGGTACCCTGCACAGCACGTAGAGCGTGGGCCTTGTTGATGTACCTCTCTATCCACAGTCCGGCAATCGTCCCTCCATTGTTGTTAAGCGTTGACCGACTGCCTAAATTAATCCTCGTACCGTCTCAAAGTACCCGAGACCTGCCTTGACGCAGAGTTGCCATAGCCGCATCAGTACCCTGTACAGGCCAAAAATGCACGCCAACGGCAGCAGGCACTCCCGCCCAGACCTTCCCGTCTGTGCATCGCGGCAGTCCCAACCGCCAAACAAAACAATTTGTGCATGACTAAAGAGGATAAGCTCGGGTAACACAAAACGCGCCGTGGAGGATCCCCCCTGAAGCAGAGATTCCCCACCGCAGAAGTCAACAGAGCGCGTGTCAAAAGTTTGGTTGTTTACTTTGGCGCTTGGTCGGTGCTACGACAACAACCCTCCCATCGCCATCATCTCGACGGAGGAGCCATCATCCATCGTCCTGGCCCAGCGCGTGCGATCAGTTCTCTTCTCGCCGCTCTGTGCGCGGCCCCCGGTTGTTGCGCCTTCGAATCGCCATTTTCTCTTGTCTTACGTTCGATGTCCAAAACTGCGACCGCATATTCCACTGTCGATTTCAACCACGATCCGCACTGCGAGCGCTTCGTCGTGTAAATTAGCCAAAATGGATTCAGATGATAATTCGGTGTTCAGCATGGGGGAGGAGTCGGAGGGGTTTGTTCCAGAGCCAGTAAGTATTATTCTCTCGAATGTGTCGAGTATCACATGTCACCTCCACCTCACCAGATTCTTGACATGGTCCTCACCTTGTGTTCGGTTTGCAAGTGCGCTCAATGCAAGGTGATATCGCAAAGACTCCTATCCATTAGCCCTTGCGATCGTCTTCTCACCTTCCCCTCAACCACATACCCTGGCCTCGACATTTCACATCTTCCCCCACATCACAAACTCGCGCGCGCACCAAGAAATCAAAGGCAGAAAATACTCACCAGTTGCTACAGAAGAAAACCAAGGCCCCAGCCAAAAAGGCCGCTGCCCCCAAGGCTGCTGCCCCCAAGAAGAAGATGGTTCAAACCACGTTGAAAACGAAGGCAGCGCCTAAGAAGCGCGCTATTCCAGATGACGACGAGTCTGCGGCTTCAGACTTCGCCAACACGCCCCCCAAGTCCAAGAAATTAAAACAGGATCCTCCTGCAAAGCGACTCAATGGGATTCCTCTAGCAGAGCTGGAGAACGACAGCATGGTTCTTGATGAAACCCCCGCCCCCACGACCAACGGCACCAAGAAAACTGCCACGGAGACGTACCAGAAATTGACCCAGCTTGAGCATATCATCAAGCGTCCTGATACCTATATCGGCTCTGTCGAGCATACTGAGCAACAAATATGGGTCTACAGCAAGGAAACTCAGCAGATGGAATACAAGACCATCAGTTATGTTCCCGGTTTTTACAAAATCTTTGACGAAGTCATGGTTAATGCTGCCGACGCCAAGCAGCGCAACCCCTCAATGACACACATGAAGGTCACCATTAACAAGGAGGCCGGTGAAATCTCTGTAGAGAACAACGGCACAGGTATCCCCGTGGAAATGCACGAGAAGGAAAAAATCTATGTTCCAGAGCTGATTTTCGGCCATCTTCTGGCTGGTTCCAACTTTGACGACAGCGAGAAGAAGACTGTCGGTGGTCGAAACGGTTATGGTGCAAAGCTTTGCAATGTATTCAGCACCGAGTTCACGGTCGAAATCCAGGACAGTGAGAGGGGTAAACGATATAAGCAGACGTGGACTGACAACATGCAAAGGATGGGTAAAGCTAAGATCACATCCAACAAAACATCAAGTTTCGTCAAGGTCACATTCAAGCCTGATTTTGCCCGCTTCGGCATGACAGACGGCATAAATGACGATATGGAGAGTCTTTTGATGCGCAGAGTCTATGACATGGCAGGAACAGTCCGAGGTATCAAGGTCTATCTCAACGGCGAGCATATCAAGCTCAAGGATTTCAAATCATACTGCAACCTATATGCCAAGGCCATTGCCAAGGAACGGACGGAGGAAGAAGGAGGCGCACCCTCTTGCACCGTCGAGATCGACAATGACAAAGGACATCCCAGATGGGAGGTCGGTTTCACAGTGTCGGACGGTACGTTCCAGCAAATCTCTTTCGTGAACTCGATTGCCACCACCACTGGAGGAACCCATGTCAGCTACATTGCGGATCAAATTACAGCGCATCTGCTCAAGACTCTCACCAAGAAGAAGAAGGGACACAGTTTGAAACAAAACCACCTCCGAAATCACATTTTCGTCTTCATCAACTGTTACATCGAAAATCCCGCCTTCAACTCGCAAACAAAGGAGCAAATGACCACAAAACTGAGTCAGTTCGGTTCCAAGTGTGTGCTTGGCGATGATTTCCTCAAGAAAGTTGCCAAGTCCGACGCTCTCGAAAACATCATGGACTTTGCCGAGAAGAAGGCCGACAAGATGTTGGCCAAGAGTGATGGTAGCAAGCGTTCTCGTGTCAGCAACGCCAAGCTGGTAGAGGCCAACTTGGCTGGCACCAGGAGGGGCCACGAATGCACGCTCATTCTGACTGAAGGTGACTCTGCCAAGGGTTTGGCAGTGGCGGGTCGAGCTATCCTTGATCCCGATCGAATTGGCGTGTTCCCTCTCCGTGGAAAGCTTCTCAACGTTCGCGATGCTTCCGTTGATCAGATCACCAAGAACCAAGAAATCCAGAATATCAAGCAATTCCTGGGACTGAAGCATAAACAAGTCTATACGGATACCAAAACGCTTCGGTATGGCCACTTGATGATCATGACTGATCAGGATCATGATGGAAGTCATATCAAGGGCCTTCTAATTAACTTTCTCCAAGTGCAATTTCCCTCACTTCTTAGGATACCTGACTTCCTTCAGGAGTTTATCACACCCATTGTCAAAGTCTGGCAAGGATCCGATCCCAAGAAGCCTTCAAGATTGAGATCGTTTTTCACTCAGCCAGAGTACCAGGAGTGGAAAGATGCTCACCAAAACGAGCTCACTCGATGGCACAGCAAGTATTTCAAGGGTCTGGGAACCAGCGATGACAAAGACGCACAGGTGTACTTCACGGACCTGGATAAACATTTGAAGAAGTTTGAGACGATGAAGACAGAGGAGGTTCAACTTTTCGATTTGGCATTCTCGAAAAAGAAAGCCGATGCTCGAAAGGAATGGCTGGGCAACTTTGTGCCAGGCACTTTCCTTGACCATACAACGAGAACTATCTCATACGATGACTTTGTGAACAGAGAGCTTATTCTGTTCAGTATGGCAGATAACATGCGATCAATCCCGTCTATCATAGATGGACTGAAACCCGGTCAGCGAAAGGTCATGTATGGATGTTTCAAGCGTAACTTGACCAAGGACAAGAAGGTCGCCGAACTCAGCGGTTACATCTCCGAACACACAGCTTATCATCACGGAGATGTCTCGCTTCAGCAAACAATTATCGGCCTTGCTCAGAACTTCATTGGATCCAACAATGTCAACTGTTTGGAGCCTAGCGGTAACTTCGGCTCCCGTCTCGCTGGAGGCTCCGATGCCGCCAGTCCCCGTTACATTTTCACTAGATTGTCTCCTTTTGCACGAAAGGTATTCCATCCTTTGGATGAGCCGAACCTCGACTTTCAGTACGACGACGGGAGTCGCATTGAGCCCACAACCTATTTCCCTGTTATCCCAATGGTGTTGGTAAACGGTGCCGATGGTATCGGTACTGGTTGGAGCACCAATATCCCCAACTATCACCCAATAGACATCGTCAAGAATATCAAGCGCCGCATGGGTCGCCTCGATTCCGATGATCCAGAGGAGAAGCCTTTCGAAACGATGCTGCCATGGTTCAAGGGCTGGAACGGCACACCCGAAGCAGCCGGCCCCGACCGTTACAAGTTCAACGGCATCGCTACCCTAAGCGAACTAAACCCTAACGAAGTGGTCATTACTGAACTTCCCATCCGAGTGTGGACTGATGACTTCAAGGCAAGACTTGAGAAAATCATCAGTGGCACCGACGGCCCCAGCTGGATCAAGGATTACAAGGAGTTCAACGATTTCGACACTGTTCATTTCGAGATCCAGGTTGATGAAAAACATATGCCGAAAGTGCTCGAAGAGGGTATTCTAGAGCGCTTCAAGCTTCTGAAGCAGGTCGCCACTTCCAATCTGGTTGCATTCGATAGCCGAGGGCAAATTCGCAGGTACGAAAAGGTGGAAGACATTCTAGAAGAGTATTACACTCATCGATTTGTCAAATACACGGAGAGAAAGGTAAGCATCCATACCCACATTGGTTTGATGAAATCGAAGACTGACGAAGATAAACAGGACCACTGGCTCAGGGTTTATCACGCCGACTATCGGAAACTGCAGAACCAGGCTCGTTTTATCAAAGAAATCATTGACGGCGAGCTCAAGGTGGGCAAGAAGAAGAAGGTGGTGCTCGTAGAAGAACTCCGTGAACGGAAGTACGAGGCTTTCCCACCAACCGCCAATGGCAAAAAGAACAACACAGAAGATGATGCGGATAAAGAGGATGACGAGGATGATACTCCTGGACCAGGTGGTAGTCACGATTACGACTATCTTCTCTCTGTAAGTGTTGACATTGTGCACCCGACGTAGGATTGTCAACTAACCTAGCCATACTAGATGCCTATTTGGTCTCTCACAGCTGAGCGTCTTGACAAACTCAATGATGCTATTGCTAGAAAAAAGAAGGAGCACGATGATCTCCAAATGCTGAGCGAAAAAGATCTGTGGTGTCAAGATCTGGACGAGTTTGTCCAGGTTTGGGACGAGCAAGCGCGTCTTGAGGCCGAGATCAAAACAGGAATTCGTCGCTTGGGTCGACGGGCGTCCAAGAAAATAGGAGCTGGCCGCGGACGCAAAGCCAAGGACGACGATGCTTATGAGCCAGAAAAGAAGAGTCGTGCCAAGGCCAAGCCAAAGGCTGCAGCACCTGTCAAGGTCGAAACCAAGAGCTCACAGAGGTTCGCGGCAATGTTCGATGCCGAACCAAAGCCTAAAAAGGACAAGGAGCCAAAGGTCGTACCAAAAGAAGAGGATGACTTCTCTGATGATGATTTCGCCGCGCTCAGCAGGGGCAAATCGAAACCGGCAGCTGCCCCATCTCGTGTCCTGTCAGAGTCAGTAGAACCCGAGCCTTCACGCAATGGCAAACGAGCAGCAGCGTCAAAGGCGAAAACCTATTTCGACGTCGACTCTAGCAGTGACGACGACGATCAAATGCTTGACGATGTCGGCGCTCTCGTAAAGGGCATTGGCGAGCCGAAGCAAGAGTCGAGTGGGAGATTAAGTCTGCACGCGATGAGCCGCCCCGAGTCCAGTCATGGCCACAACGGCTCCACCAGTCTGTCCAAACACAAGGCTAAAGCATCCAGAATATTGGACGAAGACAGCCCTGATGAGACAAACTACGAGCTCTTGGCAAAGTCCTCCCCGCACAAGGCAACCGCCAAGGCTGATGTTGGCATTGACAGCTTCCTTTCCGATGATGAGCCAGCACCTGAGCCGGCACCAGCCCCGGCGAAGGAATCGTCGGTTGACAAGGCCCCCGCCGGCTTATCACAGGTGAAGAAAGTAAGGGGTCGGCCAGCAGGTGTGAAAAACAAGGGCAAGGATGCTCCAGCCTCGGCAGCCGTTCCCAAACCCAAGGCGAAGAAGCCCGCCGCAAAGCCGACGACACTATCTCCAGCAGCCAAAGCATATGCTGCAAAGAAGGCAGTAAAGAAGACAGCTGTCGACGAGGATTCTGACGAGGAGATGGAAGAATCACCCGCACCAAAACCCGCAGCACGCAGTCGACCAGGAAGAGCCGCGGCTGCAAGGCGGCCTCTTGTAATTGAGGACGACTCTTCATTAAATCTAGATGAACAGGACGACGACGAGAGCGAGGATCCGTTTGAGATGGATGACGATGATGACTAAAGCTGTGATAGACATGTTTTTTCATTTTACTTCCTTAAGGTCACCTTATCCAGTGCTTTTCTTGCTGTACTCTTTCTTGCTACATTACTTGCTAGCATATCACTGTTGCTCATGTTCCCAACAATTACCATCCGATAGCTAGATAGCCAAGTATTGTTCTTATTCAGATGTCCAGCTATGACAGAACTCCTTTGCTTATTAACTAGTACCGCTCAAATTGCATTACTTTGCAGGGTGTGACTTCATGATCTCAATCTGCAAACCGGAGCGAGAACAAGGGATATGTGCATGTAACCGCCTAGGTATACCATGTTATTAAACAATCCAACCAGTTAAAAACTACATGAAATATGGTGCCGCAAACAGCACTTTGAAGAATGTATTGATAATCTTCCATTGCCATCTACCTCCTCTAGTACCACCATGATGATTCCAGATTCCAGAAATTTCTTATCTTATCTTATCTTATCTAATGCTGGAGGGGTCTTCGTCAGTTTACTCACCAGCTACGTCCTCCTCTGTTGAATAGTACCTACCTAGCTGCCGACAAGCATTTGTCTTCGGTCACAGATTTTGTCCGTAAAGCGTACGAGAATGGATACATCAGACACGCCGCAGTCCCTACGCGCGCTCTTTGAAGCCGCTGAGGCGAAACGACAAATAGTTGAGAGCTCCTACGACGGTTCCTCCCCCACCTACGCCTTAGAGCTCGAAGCTGCCATTTCCCTCTATACCAAGACTCATGAGGCCATAGCGGCCAGCTCTCTATTCTCTCCCAACGAGGGTATCGAAGATGTAGCAACATCAGAGCTCCCCTTCCTCCTCACCTCCTTCTACATTGCTGAGCTTGTCCAAAAAACACCCCGGCTACAACCCCAAGAACGGATACCCGTCCTTCGTCGTGCTCGCCTCGCCTACGATGCCTTCCTGAATATCGTGGACGCTTACGGCTTGGTGAAGTCGCCGTACGACCGCCTCCTCGAACGCTACCACGATGACCGAGACGCCTTCGCTCTCGTCCCCAACACTGCCGACGCTGCCGCCAAGCGGAACGGCAAGATTGCGAGCTTCAAGGCCGAGAAGGCCCTCAAGGAAAAACTCTCTATTTTAAAAGCGAACCCGCGCTACCTCGAAAGCGGAGACGAGGAGCTCGTCCGCGAACTCTACCTCACCAACACGCTGTTCTGCGTTCACACTACGTTCACCTCCCTCGACTACCTCAACCGCGAACTCTCGCTCCTCTCTCTCGCGCCGCCGGCGCCACCCGTAGCAACGCAAACGGATCCAGACAGGCCGCCGCCCGAGGTGGACCATACTCTGCGCCTCGATCAGCCCATGAGCCAACTCCTCGGTAGAGGCGGCCCGCTCCTGTCCAAGGAAGGCAAGCCCCTCCAGCCTTTCACGCTACTGGGATCCGGGTCGAGACAGGAGCTGCGGCGAGGGGTGTTTCGATCTGGGCACAATCTACCGACCATGTCGATCGACGAATATCTGGAGGAGGAGCGGCGGCAGGGCAACATTCTCGAAGGTGGCGTGCAGCCCAAGACGGTGGTGGATGAAGACGACATGGATGCGGTGGATCGGGATACGTACAAGGCCAGAGCCTGGGATGATTTTACGGATGATAACCGCAAGGGCTCGGGAAATACGCTCAACATGGGTTAGATTGGTATCAAATGGAGAAAAAATTGAGGTTTGGGTGGGAAATCATGGACCTTGTTATAGGGACAGGCGTTTGGGCGCGGGGAGGTACAGGAAGCGCAAGGGTTGCAACCCATAGCATGTCTAAACGAGAACAATCTGGACAACATGTCATTCTCTTGTCGTTGCCAGTTGGACCACTGAGATTTTGTGTTTTTAGTTGGGTTTCTAACAGAGGTACAGGATCGATTTCTTCTTTCCAATATTGATATTGTTGCGATGGTTCCATGCGAGGCCTCTCTAAAGCAGAACAGCATCATGAAGATGTATATAAATATCTTTTCAAATCATTTCTCCCAAAGTACACTGAACCTGAGCCACAAAGACTAGCTCGGGATAATACTTACATAGGATACGCCGCTTAAAACTGGTGTTCCAACCAAACACCAACATAGAAATCACAACACTGAACTCGATTCTATTGCTAGTGCTATACTAGACTTAGCTGCAATGTACCTCGTTGCCGTTCGTCTTCCAATGCTTGGGCTAGATTTCTGCAGTTTACCCTTGCTATCACGCATAAACCGGAGCAGCTAACGGAGGACAATTGAGGCTCACACGGAGCCAGTTCCTTCGGCGGAGAATTTGTTTTCTTCAATTCAGCCGAGCTAGATGATAGGGCCTCTTTCATCTTATACGCGCGAGTATCTACCTTGCCTACATAGGTACCTACCTGGCTATCCAGATGAAACACCACGCACCCCATCCCACTTCCACAACCTACTCAAAGCCCCTTGCTCCCAGTCAACATCTTCTTCCCCTTCTCTTCTACCATTACAAGTACATCTCTAGTAAAGACCCCTCCCCAAATTCCATATGCCTCTGGGACTAGGTGCCGTAGGGGTCACTGGTCCCAATGACGGTTTGCCTGACCAGTTACCCAATATGGGCAGGTCAACCATTCGGATATGCAAATCCTCCCATGTTCCGGCCCTCTATCATGGTCAAAATCACTGGGCTTGCCTCGGCATTCCTTCCAGATATCTCTCGTCATTTAGGTAGTCTAGCCATGTAAATGATGCAAGGATGAATACTTTTTCAACACCCTTGATAAAGGGCACACTTAGAGACCTATATGGTTGCTTCAAGCAGTTACTCTATAATGAAAGATATTTTCCCAACTGCCCAAGTGTTGCAGCTGAACCTGGCGTCTCCAACGAAGTTTATTCCATCAAAACAGCATACAGTTTTGTTGGCTGACAATCAGAGAACTTAAAACCTTCCTTTGCAAGGGGAACACCGGCTCCCAGGCTGAACCTTGAGTGAGTGGCTTGGAGGGTAACTGAGGTTTTCCTTAGTCAGCTAAGAGAACAAATGTGTAATATTTAGTCGGTAGACTTTCTCGCTCAGGAACCGCTTTCTCTTTCTTCTTTCTTCAGGCTGCTGGGTGGGCGACTGTCAATACTTGCTGATTGCCTGTTCCACTTGAGGGGCAGGCGCCTTCGGGCACTACTAGGGCAATGAGGCCTGGATGCAATCCGAGGCTGAGCTCGCAAAGACTGGGTCAAGATTATCAATCATCTGTTCCACTCGAGGATCAGTTGCCTCCGGGAATTTCTTGAGCAATTATGAAGCTTAGATGAAGCCCTAGAATGAGCTCTCTTAAAATCTGGGTTAAGAGACTTGTTCAAATACAACTTATCGATTGCCTGTTCCACTCGAGGATCAGGCGCCTCAGGGCAATTCTTGAGCAATGATGAAGTTTGGATGAAGTCCCAAACTGAGCTCTGTGACGAGGCAACTGCGCTTTCCCCGTTTATTTCGTTCCTACCTCGAGTGGCCTTTGTCTACCAAAGACCTGGAGAGACTTGTGGGCAGTGTATTCGGTGAGCTTTTTGTGTGTTTGAGCTTGGGGATTTGCCCTGAATCAGAAGGAAACTAGAGACGATAGAGTCAAGACCTTGATCATTCTGACTATTCTAGAGTTCTACGTAGCTACTGTTGACAACCCTCGTGTCATCACCTAACTTGCCAAATTAAAAATTACCCGAGTACAAAAATCTAACAACAGTGTCAATATCAATTCCACCCAATTTTCGTTATTCTTCATGACTCGTTTTTGTTTTTTTGTCGTTATTTATCGTTATTTGTCGTTATTTGTTGTTGTTTTTTTGTTGTTTTTGGTTTTTTGTTGGTTGTTTTGAAGCTTCACTCCATGAATTCCTGGAACGCGGAGTCGTTGTCGAAATCATCGTCGAAATCATCCCCGAAGGATGTAATGGTTGCGTCGGACATGCTATCCGACATATCCACATCGTCTAGGCTTGTGATGTCTTGGTGAGCTGCAGGTACCGCCAATGCAGCCCTTTCGAATTCAGAAGCACCGTCATCAAAGCTTTCAGAAGCAATGGAAGACCCGAGGGCAATAACGCGGTCTGGGCGGTACACCGTCGAGATACCATCCTGTACATCTATCGACCGAGCGACCGAACTTCCGGCTGCTGTGCTTCCGGTGATTCTCATGGCCTCGATCTCGTCCATCAACGAACCGGAGATACTGGATGCGTCTGATGGTAGGGTCTGGCCAGTGTGGTAGGCTGGACCAGGCCCATTCGGCCCCATCTCGGCAGGCGGGAGGAAGTCCTCAAATACACCACCCGTGCCATCATCATTTCCGCCCGCCCACAAGGGGAGATATTTCATCTCGTTATGGGTGAGGGTTAGAAGCATGTGGCGAGTCAAAGGCATGGCAAACTGGAACCCATGTTTGATCCGGTCCCAAGTCTCGGTAATTGATAATTGATCAACGAGGTCTATGTGGAGGTTTCCCATGTTGAAGAAGGGCTCGCTCACTATGTAGCGCTGGTTGATGAGCGGATTCTCAGCCATCCGCTCAAGAATAGACCCCCATGAGGAGAAATCGTGGAGGTATGGGGCCCGAGCGACTGCGACCTGCAACTCTCGTTTCAAAGACTCTATCCCCTGTTTGAAGTATACATCATTGGTGATACTCGCCAAGTCACTTCCAATCGTAGTGGAAACAATGGGGCAAAGAAGTCTTTGGGTCACGTTGAATCTCAGGAAAATCTCTCGTAAAGGCTCGAAATCCTTTGGCTCGGTGTACAAGACGCGATCTTTGTCAAGATGACAATAATCCCCATAGCCATCAACGCACCTGTTCAATGCCGAATCCAAGTTGTTTGTGATTGAAATTTGTATCTCTCTCATAAGTGAACGAAGTTTCGCCAGGATTGTAACAAACGAGTCGTCTTCCTCTTGCTCAAGAGCACGTTCAAGATTTTTCAGTTTGTCCCATTCCGCCAGTTCGAGCCTATCGAACAGAGATGGAGCAACGGTTTCGTTGTGTTGTTTCACGATCCTATCAATGAAAGCACGAGCTGCATGCTGGATGACATTGACTGTCTCGTCATCGGGGCTGCCAAGCCGTCTTCCGAATACCGACACCTGGCGGCGGGGCTTACCAGGTTCAAAGTCGTAGGCAGCCTCTTCAAGTGCGAGTTCATTGACGAGGATCCGGAATGCTGCCTGGGTGATGTCTGGTAGCTGGAGCCTATAGCCGATTCTAAAAGCCTCTTCGGGTAGGACTTCAACAAACGTAGTGTTTGACATGATCCAGGTAGCAACTTGATCGCGAATCACAGATGGTGCTTCAAAGATCTTGCTGATTGCTACCATCGACCATACACGGGCTGCCGAGTTCAAGTTGACATTTACACCCTCGATCATCAACATGAAACGAATTATGCTGTGGCAATGACGAATGACACAGTAGTCGGGGATCTGGTAATGGGGGGGAGCGTTCATGAGCGTATCTTGCCCCTTCTCTTGTAGAAGCTTCACGTCGCTGACGCGCGGGGGTATGGTGACTGAGATCATCTTCTGGGGTATATTCTGCACAAAGGTAGGGGAAGTGCCATCGTCAAACTTCTGGGACGGGTCTCGGGAAATTTCCAATGTAGGGGACGGAACAGGTATAGAGTCTTGGGAAGAGGGGGTGTCGGACGAGCAAGAGCAAACATCGTCATGACCAGTGACTAAGTCTTGCTCAATGGCGAATAGTGCTTTCGCGCTCCACCACTTGATGATTCCTGGTGTGAGTGATAACTCGGAGATCTGGAAAACCAAGTCGTCGCCCTCGACGGGAGGTGTAAGGTCCAGAAGATACTTGACGCCCTTGAGCAAGTCCTCTGTTGGTTTTCTGCGCCGCTTTACACGGGCTTGGTAGATGGCATTGTCCAGCATTTGCGGAAACTTGGAGTCTAAGAGGGCAAAAAGATTGCTTGAGTGAACCAAAAAGTGCTGTGATGCAGGCAAGATGCCGCCGCAAGTAGTCTTCTTGCGCTGGTCCTCAGGCAAGGAGGGGATGTCGACATATACAAGCGTATCACCCTGGTTGAGGGTAAGGTTTGCGTACAAGACCGTATTCATGGACTCTATCTCGGGGGTGCCATAAGGTTTCACAAATGGATTGGCCGGTTCGCCGCTTGGCTGATGGCCATCAAAGCTCGGGCGATGTACATATTTTGTAGGATAACCACCTCGGGGCAGTGTCAGCCCTGGACTTGAAGGGCGGTTGGAAGACTCGTTGGTCTCCATTGTCAAGTTGGAGGAATCAGTCCTCGGTCGACGTGGGAATCAAGTGTTGTGTTTGTACAGCGAATAGAGGAATGTCTTAATAGGGAAAGGGAGTGTCTGTGTGTATTCGTTTTTATTTTGATGTATTTGTTGCGATGTGCTTGTGTACAGAGGCAGGTCTTTTTAGGGCAAAAAGAACATGGCCAGGATTGAATATCACAGAAACCTCCCGGACAAGGTTACCAGGAGCACCTTCAAGACCAGGTTGAAGGAGTTAGTCTCGCAGCTTAGAGCGAAATTTCCCAGCTGATACAGAGGCGCAACTGGTTCGACGGGATGAGAATTGGACGGATGAGGCAGGAAGTGTATTTTGAACCGGAGATGAAGAAATGCATCGGGGTGACTCATGGGGTGAAAGAGAAGGAGGAGCATGGACGGGGAGAACTGTGGTGGGGTGCTCAGAAGCCAAGTGAAGGTACGAGGGTACATACATACTAACCTGACGTGGACCAGGGCCAGGTACCGCCAGGCAATGGGCAGAATCTACGATGTGCCTCCTGAGGCAGAGGTTGGAAGGCCCTGGGGACCACCTGAACCTTGAATGAAAGCAAATCCAAGCAGCTGGCCCCCTGCACATATGCAGTCAGTCTGCGGCATCTGATCGCCTTGCAGGCTGTGGTGTTGGACTCCAGGCAGCTACGGTCCCCTATGGGTTAGCGGCACGACGCCTTACCACTGCTCCATTTTTTCCACCACTACTAACCTTGCCGGACCTAACCTAACTAGTAAAAGCTAGTTCCCAATTGCTAAGGTCTTAGGCAGTGTGGGGGTGCCGTGGTGCATTCGGCGCCGGGTCCAGAGACGAGCTGGGGCTGTGGCTTGCCGTGCCTTGGACCGCAGCGTTACACCACCCGCGGCCATGGGTGGATTTGCATCATGGCCAAGTGAGACAGAATGCAATGTCAATGGCCACCAACAGCTACCTGACCGCCAGTCCCTACTCAAAAGAGCCTCCTTGATCGCCATAAGCTCATGGCTGACGCACATCCATGTGGGCAGTAGGCAGCAGCCTGCGCCACCCCACACAACACATCCCCTCCATCTCGACAACGCCGCCTTACCCTAAGGCAGACAAGATGCACATAAATCACAGAGTAAAATGCCACATCAGACATACTTCATGGAGCTGAGAAAAACGCAGCGTTAGCTGAAGCGCCCACAGCAGAGAATCAGATTTTAGCACTTTCGCCGCCCATAAACCAAGCTCAGACGCCCTTGTAGTCAAACTCCATCCTGATATTATCACCACACAGTGGCCTGCTGCTTAAGTACCTATGTCAAGCAAGTGACCCAGATTAGACAAATCCCACCCCTTGTGCTCAAGTCCTGGTAACGCCCGAATATGCAATATTTCCCTTCCCCTTCCCATTCCCATGCCCCTCGCCGCCCCGTCTCTGTCCCTTTACCGATTACAAAAGCCCACTAAAATGAGCTACCTCTCCGAGTAAAACCTCCATATTCCTCCGCCTCACTTTCTGAAGAGTAGGCGGGCGCTTTGCCTTTGCCCTTGTTGCGGGTACTTAAAGGCTGCAGCCCAACTTTGGGCTCCTTCATGCTCCTCCGGCTGATGGGCCTGGAGGCCCCCGAGCTCTTCTTCGGGGTGGCATCCCCTCTCCTCCTCTTTGGCGGTCCGTGCCTGTTTTCGTTGGCAGGGCCGTCGCTCGCCGCCCCCTCGGTAGACGAATTCAGCCGTGTTACAATCCCCGATGATTGCTTCATGTCTCGCATCTCCTTGATCATTTCCGCGAAGCTCTCCTCCAGCGTCTTCATTCGCGCAAGAACCAACCTCCCCATCCTGTCTCTATCAGTTGAGTCTCCCCCTGCAGCCGCACGCATCCGTTTATCTTTCATCATTGCCATTGCCATCTGCGTCTGGAAACTGCCAGGCATGCCTACATGATGATCCTCGGTCGCAAAATGCAAACTCATATTATCAGAAAGAGCACCCAAATCGATAGAGGAAAGCCTCCTAGCAACTCTGGGCCGGTGCTGTGGTTCTATGCTCATCAACGCCGAGCGACTAACCCCGCCAGTTTCCGTAATGCCGCGAGGAGGGAGTGTTGGTCGTTTGGGGTTTGCAGGCGCCGGCACTCTCTTTGGGGAAGCGCGACGTGGAGAGCTTCTACGCGGTGAGCTCCGCCTTCCAGGAGTCTGATGCCCGCCCATGCTGCGTCCACTCGATCGGCTACCAGCGGGGGACTTCAAAGCCTGTTGTGATGCCGAGGAAGAGCTATGAGATTTTGGCTCTTCCGGGTTGTACAAAATCGTGTTGGTTGATAGCGTACGGCTATGTAGGCCACCTCTACGCTGGCTCAAGGGGCGTGGCGTCGGTGGCACTCCCCCTGATGAGCTGTGCGAAGACGGCAGCTTGGCGATGCGTGATGTCATGGGCGTCATAAAGTAGTCTTCCTCCTCGCCTCCATCTTCGTATCTATCCTTTCGGCTAGATATGTCATTGGTCACATTGTCGTCTTCCTCTTCGTCATTTGTTACCAACTCGTCGTCTCCATCCGCGTCTGTATGGTCCTTGTACTCGGGCACCAGAGGCACTAGGTTTCGTCTAGATATGCGCCTTCGTACATTTGGTCCGCCCAGGTTGGACATGAGATCTGCTGGATCGCTTGCAATAGACCGGATATCGGACACATGTCGAAGATTCGAGGGCCGTTCCCATCCCACACTCATCCGCCTCTGCCACTCTGGAAAAGCCCGGCTGTCCAGAGTGGGCCAATTTGTTGCGGAGCCGCCATCTTCAACATGCTGATCCATCCAGTTTCGAATTGCAGTTTGAGTCTTGCGTCTCTCGCTCCTCCGCTGGGATCGTACTGTCGCCGAAGCCGGGACCCGACGGAAAACCTCTTCCAGAGCTCGATCTTTCTGAAAGCCAGAAACAGATTCCTCCCTGACTCTAACATTGGGGCTGAATATGGCAGTTCTTAGACCTGGGTCGATGAACGACACGGTCCTATCCCGAGCGCGACCCGGATGCTCGATCAAATCCGTTGGCTCAAACATTGACGGGGCTAACCAAAACCTTTCGTACAAGTAAATAAGGAAGAGAACCGGGAAGTGCGTGACCTTGATGATGGTGCGGTTGAGCCAGACAAACTGTCTCAGCGGCATGCAGTATCGCAAAGGCATGAGCAGCCAAGCGAATATATTGCTGGGAGCAATGTATGAAAAGAGTGCATCATTCTTGACCATTGATATAGTGTTGATAGCAAACAGGAACCTAGGTACTTGTTAGAAACATAGACTCGATATAAGTTTAAGGGTCTCCTCACTGGTGCTCTTCAGTAGCATTGGACGCAATCGCCATGAATGAATTAGTCAGGACAGTGATAAGAATGGTCCTAAGGTTTATCATTAGCGGGCGTCTTCATATACTTTCGGTAGCAGGCTATAACTTACACGACCAGGAAATGACAAATAATGAGAAACAGGACCATAAGCATACGTCCAAGCCAGTTGTAGGTCGGCCAACTATAATAAAGAACGTCGTCAGCACAATTATGTCATGTACGCTTCCAAATCCGTAGACTTACACATCCCAGGCTGCTGGTGTGAAACCCATTAAGATCTGAAAGATCTTGTACGCTACCTCACCTCCATCATCATTATTGTTTGATAGGGTGAAGAAGACATAAAAGCCACTGCAGAGGATTAGCACCAAGGTGAAGACAGCCACCAGGTCCACAGCCATCAGCCGGAAAGCGATGAGTAGCTGCGAGAAGTACTGGTAGTGATCGAGGACGCTGAAAATTCGTGGCAAAAGCAAGATTGCATTTGCAGCAAGGACGTCATAGGCCATGTCATTCCAATGGTGAGGGTCCACCATGAAAACACCATAGGCACGCATACAGTAGTATACTATGAGCAGCACGAGAATGCCCAAATCGAAAAGATTCCAAAAACTCATGATGTAGAGAGCGAATCCTTGCTCGTTGAAGCCCACCAACTCATCCAGCATAAACCCTGCGCTCCAGAACCAAAAGACGAGTTCCAGGCCTGTGATTCTAGAAGATCTTTCCGACAGCACAGCAAGGAAAAGTCCGATAAGAATGGCAAGGGAGAGTGTAGAAAGGAAGGATCTATATCGCGGAACCCTGAGCCGCGAGAGCTTGAGCATGGAAGCTTGTCTTGGGTCGTATAGCATCACAGTTCTTCTACCAGGTGGAACATGAGGGTGGGTGTCATTTTTGGGAGGAGACCCAAGCAAAGGCGTCCTGGAATCAGGTTTGGCGGTGCTGCTCTCAGCACTGCTGGGAAATGAGCCTTGGGGAGACTCGCGATGGAGACTATCAGCTGAGGAATAGAAGGTTATGGCACCACTCCAAATAGCTTCCAGTTGCTGGACTACTACTGGATGAGCAAGGAAGTGCTTCGCAGAAGCACGGATCGCTACTTCAAGGGTGGATGTGCGAGACGCCGTCAGAGCGTTCTTTGCGCTAGGCTTGGGCAAAATATTCTGCGGTGAAACACCCGGGATGCCTTGAAGAGGATAGAAATCATAAGCGAGCGCATCGATAAGCTCACGGGTGCTGTATTCTTTCAACAGCTTCAGGGCCAGCAGCTCGCAAACTTTGGCCCTGGTGTTACTCGTCCCAGCATTAGCAGCATAGAGTTGGCCTTCCTTGTTGAACTGTAAACAGTTTGCCATCAACGCGTATAGAGTCGCTCGTGAAAAGTGTTGCGCCCGAATTTGACGCTGCATTGGCTTAACGAGGAATTGAGAGATCTGGGGGGAGCGTAGCTGCTCCCACGTCAGCGTGGTTTCGGTCCGGGCCGTGACGATAATTCGAATCGCATGGGTGAGGCTGTAAACTGGTAGGGAATCTGGGTACGGTCAGTACAATTGGACAGTAGAAATCCATTGGTATGCGCCAGTACCTAAGTGTGTTGCAGAGAAGAGTGGGAGAACGGGCAATGCAGCTCGCTGCCCATCCTCATCCCCTTCGCCA